TTCATGCTGAAATTTGTACTACTTTTTAATATTATATGGCAGACTAGCTTAACTACCTACTTTTAGTTGTTTTTAAAATGGAGCTCATGCTTGGTTACTGCTTTTGATGTTAAAACGATGTTTTTGAGAATGGTTGTGTTCATTTAGTTGTCTGCTACTTTAATGTGTTTTCAATTACTCCGTATTAGACTAAATTACTAAATTTGCATGCCAATTGTGTTGGAAAAATGTGTTAAAAATTGCATTAAATGGTCATTTTGGGGCAATTATTTGAGTGGGGTCCACTTCCAATTTGGGTCGGGTCAAAGTGGTTTCGGATTGTCCTTGTTAAGGGCTACAATTCGATATGTGGTACACTCAAAACGGATAACGGATGAATGAGAAATTGATTCTCGAAGTTCACTCGTTGAAATGGAAAAACTGGGAAAATGATGGGTTTCTAGTGTGTTTTATCCCACACCGAAAAATTCAAGGGATTTTCACCCCCTTATAAAGGGAAGCCTCTTTTAAGGAGTTAAGATTCCTAAAGGTAAAGGCTCTCTCTTACGCGCAGGGGGGCGGTGCCGATCAAATCCCGAAACAGAGAAGAAAAACTGTGACTCGTGTGCGCGGGCGACCTGCGGACACGAATGTCGTCCGAACGTTCAGATCCATTAACACCTCATTTAACACACAACAAATCCCCCTATAAAAGGTTGGCAGGTGCTTTGCAACAAACACATGGTTTGACAACACATAATACATTCCTCACGTTTTCTTGAGCTAAAAACACTTCCAACTACTCTGCAAATTCCTTCTGTGTTCATACTTGGTTCTCGTTCGCTGGAACTCTTGTTTGTGTGCAGAAACATTAGTTCGTAGTCATCATATCCTGGGAAACGATTGTTGCAACGCTCCTAGCACCGTGGGAGGCAACAAATACGTTTTAAGGACATCGTGCGTAGCACGAGCTTTGACTAATTCTGCTTCATCTCCTTTCTTGTTTTTCTCTAGTCATTTTATTTAATTAATTTATTTTAATTAATTTCCTTTATTTTCCGAAACACATCCAACAAATTGTTCCTCCTCTTATTTTTATACATGGACTTTTGGTTTTAAAAAAAACCGAATAAAAATCGAAACCAACCGAACCAACCAAACCGTGGTTGGATATGTTTATCAAAGAAACCAAACCGAATCGAACCGAACATTTCACTTTGGTTCTGTGTTTGGTTTTAGGTCAAAACCGAATCGAAGCAACCGAACTCACCCCTAATTTTCCCTATATTTCGTAAGGTAAACTAAAACATACTCATAAAAGTAAGCTTGAGATGTAATTTTCGATCTCCGGCCTTCTTAATTACTGAGTTAATAATTAAGGAGAATAAAAAGAAATTAAAGTATAAGAGTTAGGACGGGAAGGGGTAGGAGATGAAAGTAGGAAACACCAAAGGAAGCATTTTTTCTATCATACCAAATTTGAGATTAAAGTTATTTGGCAAATTATTTCTAGTTTACTCATACGGTGTTTATCATACAAAATAATTTGGTATGATAGAAAAAATGCTCATACCAAATGCTCCACAAATTTCCGTATGCTTCATTTCTTTTTAGTTGGCAAATTATTTTTAGTTTACTCATACCAAATTTTAGCTTAAACTTCAATCGAGAAGGCATTCAAATGAATTTTTTAAGGTAACTGTGCTTTTAACTGCGCAGTTATCTTCAAAACTTCATTTAAATGTCTTCCCGATTGAAGTGTTATCTGAAATTTGGTATGAGTCAACTAGACTTAATGAATAAGATGCTCAAAAAAATTCATCAAAAAATTCCACCTGGAACCTCCTCGAATGACGATGGCCGGACAGAGCCTCCTATGTAGAATGAGGCACGTGTCAGCTGTATAATAAAACTGTCATTTTATAAGTATATTTCTTTTCTTATTCTATGAGTTATTTCTTTTCTTATATATAAAAACTAAAAAATACAAATGCAAAATATAAGTATAATTTTAGACTTTATATTCATACTTTATATCTACGTGTTTACATTAATTAATATTTTATTTAAGGTTTCATTTTTATTTTAATGTTTTATTCTATGTTCTTATATTTTATCATTTCGGAGGTTTTGAATTACTACATACGAAGTATGAAATGTAAATAGAAATTTATAATACTTAAAAAATAAGTTTTAGAATATAAAATGAAAAAGTTCAAATCGGAAATATTTTGTATAACTTAAATTATAAATATAAATTTAATATCAAATAAAAAATAGGAAAATAATCTAAAAATCTTTTGAAATAAAAAATAAAAATGCAAGAAAAATGTTAAAGCACTAAACAAAAATACCTAAATAGTAACAAAAAATAGAAAAATTTCTCAAATAAGAGTGTCATTATTTTTATCCCAAAATAGGACTTATGCACGCCTAGTTAGAATTAAAAAAGTCCTATTTGGAATGAAAACATATTTAGTTCTATTTTAGAATTTTTTCTATTTTCATCCTACTTTGAGTCATTTTTAAATTAAATCTATATTATTTAATAGATTTACATATTAAAAACAAAATATTATACATACAAAGTATAAATATTAATAAAATTTAAAAAACAAATGAAATTTAATATAGGAAATAAAAGGGCTAAATAAAAATTTAAGAGTAAAATATAATGTCAAAATATAAATAATATTATCTTATCATGTTTTTTAATTTTTATGTCCATACATTGAATTAACCAGAAGTTAACTATTTTTTCCATATACTACGTATATTTATATTTATCTTATTTAGTTATTTTGAATTTATCCCAATTTAGAACCTTTTTTACAATTGAGGGGATTAATTATACAGTACGGACAGTGTTCAGGCACAAATTTGAGCTTTTAGTTTCCATTTCATATCCACAGTTGGCAACCTGACAGATGATGCGGCAGGTGACCAAATGTTTACCGTAAAAATGAAATTTGAACCATATTTATCAGTTTGGGGGTGTGAATTGAATCCTTTTTTAGTTGAGAGACTAAATTGAACAAACATGATCAATACAACACCTCTCCGATCCTTTAGGCTTTAAAAAAGGAGAAAGATGCAAATGCACCCCTGAAATATATGTGGAGGTGCACACGTACCTCTAAACTTATAAAAAGTGCAAAAATACTGCTCAAGTTTCTAAATATGAGCAAATTTACCCTTATTTTGTTGACTTTAAAAATATCAAATAAATTTTAATATATATTTTTCAAAATTAAATTAATAAGTAAATTTAATTTTAGTTAGTATTATCAATTTTTTTATAATCTTCAATTTTAGTTAGTTTTATTGCATATATTGTCCTCCAATAAACCTATTTCCCTGCATTGCATTGGTTTTTGTTGTTTTATTGTTGCATTAAATGCACATTGTGTTACGCATTTCAAATGCATATATGTGTTAAATGATTGATAAAAAAATGTATGTTTCCCATTAATTGTTTTGTGCTAATGAAAGTCTATCACTTCAAAACATCATGAGCTAAGGATATAAAAATACAAAAGAAATGGGTAATTGGACCTTGAATACATTTTGTTTATACTTTATATAGCAGTTTAGTATGTAAGAATGATCAGAAAAATGAATTATTTTGTAGTTTATACTACCTTAATAGCTCATGTTTATTTGTAAGGCTTCTTTTCATGCAAGGACTTCATATATGTTCATCATTTATTTTTTAATTAATTGTCTATTTTGTTTAAACTTACTCTTTAGCTTATAACTTTTTGAGAAACTGCACTTCATCTTTACGGCCATTGACTTTGTCTAATAGAACTAAACCATATTTATAAACTGAAACAGCCCTCTGTACTCTTTCAAAAGGTACATAAATAAACGAAACTATTAGACTTATCTGCTTTTATGCTAATTTTTATGCTACTATTCTTATGCCACTGTCAGTTGTTATATGTAACCCCTATCTTCTACACATTTTGCTTTAAAGCACACTTACTTTAAAGCAAAAACTTTAGCTAAATCAGTTTAGTTGCTTTAAAACACTTTAGCTAATTTGTACCAAATGAGCTCAAAATATATTTTGAGTAGATGATTTTGAGATTCCAACTATTGGCCATTAGCCTAAAATTTAAGTTTGTCCCTTCGGTTTCTTGCTTTACGAATAGGGGTGCAAAAACTTAATTTCAACATCTCAAAAAAAACTTCAGTTAATAAAAAAGCTTTTTCCAAATGCTACATATATAAACTGAAGTTATAACCATATCCCCTAAAAATGATTAACCACGAAAAAGTGATATGTTTTTTATTTGTTAGATTGAATTAAAATGGTTAGGCTTCCAAGTGTATCAGAAATTTTCTTTGTAAGTTCACTTCATTTGTTATTCACCTTGCATATTCTCAGCTTTTCAGATTTTGCAGGAATGGATTTATTCTTTTTTTGTTTCGATAGCTAATTTATTCAGTGAGAACTTACCTAATGCCATATTTTTTAATTATTTTTGAACAATAAAAATTTATATATGCAGCTTTTGTAAACCATATTAGAACTAAAAAATTACTTTTAGTGAGATTAACAGAAAGGCAGAGGGCTCTGTCTAATATAACCAAACCCTATTTTTAAACTGAAACAACCCTCTGTGCTCTTTCAAAAGCAATATAAAAGATTTGGGAAAACTGTCAAATAGGTTCTCGAACTTTCATAAAAAAGTCAATTAAGTTCTTCTACAGGAAAATTAAAGTTCGAAAACCAAATTACATTTTTTTTAATTAATCACAAATTCAAAAAAAGACAAATTGTGCACATATATTTTGTATATATGTGGAACCAAGTAAGTAATCTTCTATATAAGTAAACACATTGATATGCACTGAAAGTAACGTTATTAGGCTATTAAGATGGTAGATCTTGCCGTATTTTTATATATTGCTATATAAGGAAGTAAACTACTAATCTCTCCTAATTTAGTGAGAAATCTTTTGTATATATACATCTCTTCTCTACAAGTTCATTCCAACATACAACCCAATTCTCTTCATACATGACTTCCTTCATACAAAGGGCATGCCAAGACTGCCAGGTATGATCTAAATCTTTTATTTTTAACATCGATTTTTTCATTTCAGTTAGTTAGAGTACGTTAATTTTTACATGATCATGGATGGTTTATTTTGATTTGATAAATGATATATATAGTTATCAATTCATGTTTTGTATTATAATATGAAGTAGGATTTGAGGGTATTAAGATAGACATTCTTGACATGTTTTTATACATGGCATTAGAAGGAATGAATTATTGTGGAATACAAACTAATCAGACATTTTTTAGACCACACCAATTTTTAACAGATCAGACCACACCAGACTTAAGCGGAATAGACCAGTTAAAAATATTCTACGTTAGAAAACTGCCAATAAAAACAATTTATGCAAGAATCAAGCAATCTATGTATCTCCAAATAATAGTTTGGATGAGTATTTATTTCTTCATGAGGAAGTTCCATTGAAATTATAGGTAGGATTGATTCCCAAAAAGAACTCAAGCATAATATATTAATGGACAAAAATAAAAATACATACGTGATAGAAGGAATACTAGAAGGCAATAGTTAATGAATATTGGGGAACCAATATATTTTAGAGTGAATAAAATCTTCTCTATTCATTATTGAGAAATTATGTAGTGGAAAATTACTATATGTAAGCAAAGTATTGACTAATACAACTTACATACAAAGTAATAATATTATGACTAATATTAATATTGAAGGGGGTTGAATTAAATACTTATTAAGTTTTCTAAATTAGTTTCACTGCAAGTTCAAGGACATATATGAATATATACACTTCACATATTGTTATAAATAATAATACTAATATAGCATCTTTTTTTACTATTTATCTCTTCATTAGAAAGAGCAATATAAAACTTTGTAATCAAACTTGTGGATCAATTATCGTGTTATTTAAGTATGGTTCTTTAATTTACAATATATTAAAATTATTACAATAAACCATAACTTACTAAATGAAAAGCATTTAATTAATTAAACACCAAAATAAAATTTTGAAAAACAATTTACATTTTTTTTGAATTAATCAGAAATTAACAAAAATGTAACCAAATTGTGCACATATATTTTGTATATATGTGGAACCAAGTAAGTAATCTCCTATATAAGTTAACCCATTAATATGCATTAAAAGTATATAGGCTATTAAGATGGTAGATATTGCCATATTTTTATATATTGCTATATAAGGAAGTAAACTACTAATCTCTCCTAATTTAGTGTAAGTTATTTTTTACATGACTATGGATGGTTTATTTTGATTTGATAAATGATATATATAGTTATCAATTCATGTTTTGTATTATAATACGAAGTAGGATTTGAGGGTATTAAGATAGACATTCTTGACATGTTTTTATACATGGCATTAGAAGGAATGACTTATTATGGAATACAAATTGATCACACTTTCTAGACCACACCAATTTAGACCAAATCAGACCACACCAGACTTAAGCGGAATAGATCAGTTAGCTTATATTCAAGTTTTACAATTTAGTTGCCGCAAGTACACAACACTACATTGTTGTAACTTTTATTCTTTTTTTTAAATATGTTTTTAAAAAATCAACATTTTTGAACTAACTACATCTTTTAAGAGATTATATTTAATTATCATAATTGATGTGTTCAAATGGGTCTTAATACTATAAATCTAATGTATTTTTGTTACTTTTTTATATAAATTTTAACAGGTATTGTTTTGAAGCTCTAGATAGAAGTATAAGAGATATACTTTCTTGCTCTCATGATGACAATCCAAAATTGCCTTTTGGTGGAAAAACGATTGTTTTTTGTGGAGCCTTTAGACAAGTGTTGTCTGTCATTCCTAAAGTCACAAGACAGGATATTGTTCATACATCTTTGAATGCATCACACTTGTGGCAGTATTGTGCGGTGTTGAAGTTAACAAAAAACATGAGACTCAAGAACTTCACAAATGAATCAGCCAATCCAAGTATTTTTAAGCTTTTTGCCGATTGGATACTTCATATTGGTGATGGTGTTCTGGGAGGGAGCGATGACGGAGAAGCGGAAATTGATATACCGGAAAATTTTCATGTTCGAGAAATGTCTGATCCCATTGCATCCATTGTCAATGCTACTTATCCAGATTTTTTGAAAAACATGAACAACATCTCATATTTTGAAGGGAGAGCAATTCTTGAACCAACAATTGATGAGGTAGACAAGGTCAATGACTTCATGCTGCCGCTGAACAGCTCAGAGGAAAAGACATATCTCAGTTCAGACTCAGCATGTTCCTTAACCTCAGACAATGAGCTCCTACAAGAAATTCATTCTCCCGAATACCTTAACGGCATAAAATGTTTTGGTGTTCCAAGTCACAAGTTGAAGCTAAAAGTTGGTGTACCAGTGATGCTCATGAGGAATATAGATCATTCGGCCGGCTTGTGTAATGGTACCCGACTTTTAGTGACAAAACTTGGTGAAGATATTATTGAGGCGCATATGATGTCTGGAACTAATGCAGATGAGAAATTCCTTATCCCGAGGATTATTCTAACCCCAACAGATGTGAGGCTACCTTTCACATTCATGCATTGGCAATTCCCCTTGATGGTTAGCTATGCAATGACGATGAACAAGATCCAAGGACAATCGTTAGAGAATGTGGGTGTTTTTCTACGATGACCAGTTTTTGTACATGGGCAGTTATATGTTGCAGTTTCGAGGGTGACGAGTCCGTTTGGATTGAAGTTCGTGATATGCGACGACGAGGGAAATAGGAAAAAGACCACAAAAAATGTTGTCCACAAAAAAGTCTTCAATAATTTGTAAAATTGTATACTTATTAAACTCCAAATTTTTTTTATTATGTGTTTCTTAGTCGTTACTCTCATTCCCGTGATAAATTATAATATAATCTTTAATTTCATTTAGAGGTAGAATGATTTTTTTATACTTATAATATTTGTATCTTACACCCCGTGCAACGCACGGGTGAAATACTAGTATTATAACTAGTATAGTACCCCGTGCATACACACGGGAAAGAGCAGTTGGTACATACTTCCTCCGCTCAATTCCTAAAAGACTACATATAAGAGAGAAAATCTCCAGCTCAGTTCCCCCGCTCAAGTGTTAGCAAGCTTATCATCTAATACAAAAAAGCACTACATATGAGTGTGAAAATTCTCCCGATCAATTATTAGCAAGCTTATCTCCTTATACCTAAAACAACAACTTATGAGAGAGAAAATTTATCCGCTCAATTGTTAACCGGTTTATCTTCTTATACCTAACAACACTACATATGAGACAGAAAATTAACCCGCTCAATTATTAGCCGGCGGCTTATCTTATCTTATACTTCCCCCGCCCCGCTAATATTGTCTCATTTTATCTTTTCGGGAAATCCACTAAAACTGTCTCATACCAAATTTGGTAAAGTTTGTGTGGCTCTAAATCATTCTTACTTTATCCACTAATATCAGCCACATAAACCTACTTTTCTTAATAATCGTACCACGCCCTTCCTCCCCAATATTAGTGGGACAGAGGTAGTACTAAAAAGAACTACGTATGAGAGAGAAAATTCCCTCATTCAATTGTTAGCTAGGTTATCTTCTAATACCTAAAAACACTTGAATGAGGGAATTTTCTCTCTCATAGAAGATACATATGTAGTGTATTTAGGTATTAGAAGATAACCTTGCTAACAATTGAATGAGGGAATTTTCTCTCTCACGTGTAGTGTTTTTAGGTATTAGAAGATAACCTTGCTAACAATTGAATGAGGGAATTTTCTCTCTCATACGTAGTTCTTTTTAGTACTACCTCTGTCCCACTAATATTGGGGAGGAAGGGCGTGGTACGATTATTAAGAAAAGTAGGTTTATGTGGCTGATATTAGTTGATAAAGTAAGAATAAAGTAAGAATGATTTAGAGCCAGACAAACTTTACCAAATTTGGTATGAGACAATTTTAGTGGATTTCCCGAAAAGATAAAATGAAACAATATTAGCGGGACGGGGGAAGTATAAGATAAGATAAGCCGCCTGCTAATAATTGAATGGGGTAATTTTGTCTCTCATATGTAGTGTTGTTAGGTATAAGAAGATAAGTCGGTTAACAATTGAGCGGACAAATTTTCTCTCATAAGTAGTTGTTTTAGGTATAAGGAGATAAGCTTGCTAATAATTGATCGGGAGAATTTTCACACTCATATGTAGTGCTTTTTGGTATTAGATGATAAGCTTGCTAACACTTGAGCGGAGGAATTGAGATGGAGATTTTCTCTCTTATATGTAGTCTTTTAGGAATTGAGCGGAGGAAGTATGTAACAACTGCTCTTTCCCGTGTGTATGCACGGGTACTATACTAGTTATAATACTAGTATTTCACCCGTGCGTTGCACGGGGTGTAAGATACAAATATTACAAGTATAAAAAAATCATTCTACCTCTAAATGAAATTAAAGATTATATTATAATTTATCACAGGAATGAGAGTAACGACCAATAAATACATAATAAAAAATATTTGGAGTTTAATAAGTATACAATTTTTCAAATTATTAAAGACTTCTTTCTGGACAACATTTTTGTGGTCTTTTTCCTATTTCCCTCGTCGTCGCATATCACGAACTTCAATCCAGACGGACTCGTCACCCTCGAAACTGCAACATATAACTGCCCATGTGTAAAAACTGGTCATCGTAGAAAAACGCCCACATTCTCTAACGATTGTCCTTGGCTCTTGTTCATCGTCATTGCATAGCTAACCATCAAAGGGAATTGCCTACGGATGAATGTGAAAGATAGCCTCACATGTCTCGGGGTTAGACTAATCCTCGGGATAAGGAATTTCTCACCTGCATTATTTCCAGACATCATATGCGCCTCAATAATATGTTCACCAAGTTTTGTCACTAAAAGTCGGGGTACCATTACACAAGCCGACCGAATGATCTATATTCCTCATGAGCATCACCGGTACACCAACTTTTAGCTTCAACTTATGACTTGGAACACCAGAACATTTTATGCCGTTAAGGAATTCGAGAGAATGAATTTCTTGAAGGAGCTCATTGTGTAAGGTTGAGGAACACGCTGAATCTGAACTGAAATATGTCTTTTCCTCTGAGCTGTTCAGCGGCAGCATGAAGTCATTAACCTTGTCTACCTCATCAATTGTTGGTGCAAGAATTGCTCTCCCATCAAGATATAAGATGTTGTTCATGTTCTTCAAAAAATCAGGATAAGTAGCATTGACAATGGATGTAATGGGATCAGACATTTCTGGAACATGAAAATTTTCCGGTATATCAATTTCCGCTTCTCCGTCATCGCTCCCTCCCAGAACACCATCACCAATATGAAGTATCCAATCGGCAAAAAGCTTCAAAATACTTGGATTGGCTGATTCATTTGTGAAGTTCTTGAGTCTCATGTGTTTTGTTAACTTCAATACCGCACAATACTGCCACAAATGTGATGCATTCAAAGATGTATGAACAATATCCTGTCTTGTACCTTTAGGAATGACAGGCAACACTTGTCTAAAGTCTCCACAAAAAACAATCGTTTTTCCACCAAAAGGCAATTTTGGATTGTCATCATGAGAGCAAGAAAGTATATTTCTCATACTTCTATCTAGAGCTTCAAAGTAATACGTGTTAAAATTTATATAAAAAAGTAACAATAATACATTAGATTTATAGTATTAAGACCCATTTGAACACATCAATTATGATAATTAAATATAATCTCTTAAAAGATGTAGTTAGTTCAAAAATGTTAATTTTTTTAAAACATATTTAAAAAAAAAAAAGAATAAAAATTACAACAATGTAGTGTTGTGTACTTGCGACAACTAAATTGTAAAACTTGAATATAAGCTAACTGATCTATTCCGCTTAAGTCTGGTGTGGTCTGATCTGGTCTAAATTGGTGTGGTCTAGAAAGTGTGATCAATTTGTATTCCATAATAAGTCATTCCTTCTAATGCCATGTATAAAAACATGTCAAGAATGTCTATCTTAATACCCTCAAATCCTACTTCGTATTATAATACAAAACATGAATTGATAACTATATATATCATTTATCAAATCAAAATAAACCATCTATAATCATGTAAAAATTAACTTACACTAACTAATTGAGATAAAAAAATCGATGTTAAAAATAAAAGATTTAGATCATACCTGGCACGCCCTTTGTATGAAGTCATATATGAAGAGAATTGGGTTGTATGTTGGAATGAACTTGTAGAGAAGAGATGTATATATACAAAAGATTTCTCACTAAATTAAGAGAGATTAGTAGTTTACTTCCTTATATAGCAATATATAAACATATGGCAATATCTACCATCTTAATAGCCTATATACTTTTAATGCATATTAATGGGTTTACTTATATAGGAGATTACTTACTTGGTTCCACATATATACAAAATATATGTGCACAATTTGGTTACGTTTTTTTTAATTTCTGATTAATTCAAAAAAAATGTAAATTGTTTTTCAAATTTTTATTTTGCTGTTTAATTAATTAAATGCTTTTCATTTAGTAAGTTATCGTTTATTGTAATATTTTAATATATTGTAAATAAAAGAACCATACTTAAATATAATAACATGATAATTGATCCACAAGTTTGATTACAAAGTTTTATATTATATTGCCCTTTCTAATGAAGAGATAAATAGTAAAAAAAGATGCTATATTAGTATTATTATTTATAACATTATGTGAAGTGTATATATTCATATGTGTCCCTGAACTTGCAGCGAAACTAATTTAGAAAACTTAATGGGTATTTAATTCAACCCCATTCAATATTAATATTAGTCATAATATTATTACTTTTTATGTAAGTTGTATTAGTCAATACTTTGCTTATATATAGTAATTTTTCTCTACATAATTTCTCAATAATGAATAGAGAAGATTTTATTCACTCTCAAATATATTGGTTCCCCAATATTCATTAACTATTGCCTTCTAGTATTCCTTCTATCACGTATGTATTTTTATTTTTGTCCATTAATATATTATGCTTGAGTTCTTTTTAGGAATCAATCCTACCCACAATTTCAATGGAAGTTCCTCATGAAGAAATAAATACCCATCCAAACTATTAGTTGGAGATACATATATATTTCTTGATTCTTGCATAAATTGTTTTTTATTGGGAGTTTTCTAATGTAGAATGTTTTTAACTAGTCTATTCCGCTTAAGTCTGGTGTGGTCTGATCTGTTAAAAATTAGTGTGGTCTAAGAAATGTCTAATTAGTTTGTATTCCACAATAATTCATTCCTTCTAATGCCATGTATAAAAACATGTCAAGAATGTCTATCTTAATACCCTCAAATCCTACTTCATATTATAATACAAAACATGAGTTGATAACTATATATATCATTTATCAAATCAAAACAAACCATCCATAATCATGTAAAAATTAACGTACCCTAACTAACTGAAATGAAAAAATTGATGTTAAAAATAAACTATTTAGATCGTACCTGGCAGTCTTGGCACGCCCTTTGTATGAAGTCATGTATGAAGAGAATTGGGTTGTATGTTGGAATGAACTTGTAGAGAAGAGATGTATATATACAAAAGATTTCTCACTAAATTAGGAGAGATTAGTAGTTTACTTCCTTATATAGCAATATATAAAAATATGGCAAGATCTAGCATCTTAATAGCCTAATAACGTTACTTTCAGTGCATATCAATGGGTTTACTTATATAGAAGATTACTTACTTGGTTCCACATATATACAAAATATATGTGCACAATTTTTTTTTTGTTGAATTTGTGATTAATTCAAAAAAAGTGTAATTTGGTTTTCGAATTTTAATTTTCCTGTTTAATTTATTAAATTTTTTTCGTTTAGTAAGTTATTTTTAGTATATTGTAAATAAAAGAAC